TTTATCTAGGAGTCTGGTGTTTAGATTCCAAGTGTTTGGAGATTTCCTTGTTATCTCCCTGTTACTTGCTTCTAATCTGCTTGTGCTATGGGCACGTCACCCTCTGAATGGTGTCAGGTCATCCAAAGTTGATGAGGTTTGTCTTATGGATCAGGACAGGGTCTGTCCTAGTACACACTCCCTGGGGACTTGAAAACGGTATGTTCTTGAGGTTGCCGGGGGAAGTGTTTTCTGTCCCTCAGGTTGTCGTGGTCCAGTTGTCCTGCCATGAAGTGTTGAGAGAGGAATGTTGACATCTCCAACTCTTATTGTGGATTTGTCTACTTTTTTTCACTTCCATCTGGTTTTGATTCACATATACAGCAGCTTGTTTGCGTAGGGATGAATGTATGATTGCTGTGACTTCTTGGCAGATTGAGGCTTTATCAATATGTGAAGTTATATCTGTCCTTTGTCATTTTCTTTGCTCTAAAGGCTGGGGACACACCCACCTTCCTTCCCACCGGTGGGGGTTCTGCCCATCTCTAGAGCCTGTGCAAATGCCTGCCCCTCCTGACCCCCCACTAAGGGCATGGGACCTGCACTCAGAATATCTGGGTTAAGTACTCTCCTCTCTATGGTCACTCTTTTGTGTCCAAGGCCCCACTGATTGCCCTTGTCTCCCCATTGGTGACATCAACAGCTCACCTGTCTATCACAGGCCAGACAAGGACTGAGGCAGCCTGAGAGAGAAGGACCGAAGGGGCCACGTGCCTGTATCTTCAAGATATCTGAGGGTGCATTGTGTCTTCCAGGAGTGAGGAAATTGTGTGTGTGTGTGTGTGTGTGTGTGTGTGTGTGACTGTTTTTGAACTGTTAATACAGAGAGCAAACACAAACACACAGCGGAGCAGAGAGAGGAAGTGAATCGCATGCAGTGGACACACCCCAGCATCCACGGCCATTCATATGTGCTGGCTGCACACCTGCATTCTCACCAACCCATGGTCAGCTGCCCCCAACTGAGCACCACTGTGTGCTCACAGTGCCAGCAGGGTGGTAAACAGCACTGACACTGTCGCCTGCCAGGTCCCTGCACTGGTTTGGGCCACTCGTGTTTCCCGGGACTTATCCCCTGCCTCAGAAAGCCGCTTTCAGATTCATTTTTTAGCAGTAGGGCCCTGTTTCAAACAAACCTTATCTCCAGCCCTAATGGTCAACACAGAGAGAGTGGCATGACTCCACATGTATTATAAGAGTTTTCTCTTGTATCATTTATGTGCAAAAAGACCCTAAAACTGCCATCATGTATAGTAAGATTTGAATTTATATCATCGATGACAGTGTTACCGGTTTGTTTAACTCAATTTTTCGGCTTGGTTGCACCATATTCAGAAATCCCTGAGTCACATAGGTAAGCCGTTGCTAATGGTAACCAATTTTTACCTTGTTTTTACCCATTTGTCTTGTGATCTCCGGAGTCTCTTCAATTAAATGGATCCAATTGCGTGGACGAAGAGCTTGGAGGAATTTTTTTTTCCCCTCCCAGAATTGAATCATGGATCTAACAGATGCTCAGGCTTTCTCATAAATACAAAAACCAGACAAGAAGAAACCCAAGCTTAAAATAAGCAAAGCCATGCTTTTCCTGTGCCACACATGGCATCTCACTCTGTTCTTGCTGCCACCAGCCAGGAACACGTGACAAGCCACATCCGGATCCTGTGCTGGAACTGTACCTTCCAATGTAAATATTTTTACACAGTGATGCAAAACCGCAGCCTCACTGGGTGGTTCGTACAAGAGGTGCGAATACACGCCCATTCCTGGCAGGAGCAGGCTTAACTGCCGTCCTGAAAAAGGAGTTTACCAGCTCACATGAGTTAAGGCGCTGGTAGTCTCTGAAGAGTTACAGATTTGTAAACCGTCTTTTGAGTGTGTTTGGACTTTTATTAGAATTCTGAAAATAGAAGGAAAAGACAATACTGGGATCAGATGTTTGCAGGAACCCCGGAGCGCATCCACAGAGTCTCAGGGTTCCAGAGAACCTGGTTGGAAAATCACAGTTATGACCCGGAGTGAGTTTGTGAAGGTCCACATTTTCAGTCACTATTTATAATGTGACGCATTATGACAGGTGGGTGCAGACTGCTGTCAAGCAAAGGATATTTGCATCCCGAGCCCACCTCCTCCTCCCTCTTTGTCTGTGTGTGTTTACAGGTAAGGGGGTGGCTGTAACTTGCCTCATCTCAAAGCGCTATTATTGTATGACAACTTTATTCTCACCCCCATCCTTCTTCCTTTAAGCTTCATCACATTTTTGTTTCATATTCAAACTGTGACTGTCTTGTACCGTATTCTTTTTTTCCTGGAGTTTCTGGTTGCCTTTTTTTTTTTCTTATTACAAGATTTTAAAAATTATGTGTCATTAATGAAATCCATGATGCTTTCCAGATTGTTATTTCTTCTTTCCATTGCTTTGACTCCACTCTATTCTCCTCAAAGACCCCTCTATCCTGCTGTAATTTGGACCCCTCCTCCCTCTTTTCCAGGCCCTCTGCACAGCTCATCATGAAAATCCCTTTTCTTGGGGAAGGGCTTAAGATGTGCAAATTGCCAGTTATAAAAGCAGTCACGGGGATGTGAAGTACAGTATAGGGAATATAGTCATTAATATTGTAATAATTGTGTGATGTCAGCTGGGTACTAGACCTATCAGGGGAATCGCTTTATAAGGTATATAAATGTCTAATTGCTACACTGGATGCCTGCAACTAATATAATATTGTATGTCATCTGTAATTAAAAAATTAGAAAAGTATATTAGACAAAAGAAAATCCCTTTTCATGGTCTCCAGGTTTAGTCCAAAAGTTCCTTTCTTCTTTCTTAGCATTCACCTTTGTTTTTCTGGAGCTGATCCTGAAGCTCATGACCATGGAAAACAAGTTCTCAGAGGACTTCACTTTCTTGAAAATGTCTTTCTTTGCCTTCATGCTCCAGTGGTTTCTTTTGCCTCTAGGAAGTTTCTCCATGTGATTTCTCCCTCCTGCCCACTCTCACAAGCTTCTGTTATGTGAGTTCCCCGGGCCTGTCCTCTGAGGCCCGTGTTGTTTCTATCCTACATTTGTTTCATCTCTGATTTTTATCAGCCAAACCTCCCACCCACTTATAATAAAAAGCCATTTCATAAATCATATTTTAACTTCCATTGTGCATCTTGTTTTTCTAAATGCGATATTCTCTTGAATTTTTGTGAGGATATTACTTTTTTAAGGCATAATGTTTCATTACTCTCTTTGACTATGTCCTCTTGGAGTGCTGTCTCTGTGTGTCTATCCCTGATGGCGTCTGTCACACGGTTCTCAACTGTCTCGTGATCTGACTTTTCTATTTAAAGACCCTCGGGAATAGAGAAAGCAGCCTCAGGCTCTGTAGAAGTGGGGAGACCTTACTGGAGATCCCCCAAGTGCTACAATGAGGGCTACTTTACTGTGTGGTGCTAGAACCTTGACCAGCTGCCTACATTTTCTTGAGACAGTTTTTTTTTTGTTTTTTTTTAATTGATGAGTAGGACCGTGTTTTAAGGGTTCCTGGAATTGGTTTTGATCAGCTATGGTTACACATGCAGACACAAAATGCCTTTCACGAAGGACGACGTTTTTGCTCACAGTTCCCTAGAAACAGGAGGCACGCCATGCCATGCAGGGCCACACGGGGCAGCACCAGGCCTGTCAGGAGGTGGGGGGAGGGGAAGGGGGGATGTGGGCACGAGCCTCTGTGGTGGTTTCTGTGGAAAGTGACGGACAAAGCAGGGTGAGGAGGCTTGGGGTTGGCTTGCTGGAGTAATGTCAGTGGGCTCTGGGGCATAAGGACTGTCCTTAGCTGTCTGGTATGTGGCCCTGGATGTTGAGGGCAGGTGGCTGTTGGCCTAGCATGTTAAACCCTGACAACAGAGGTGGTTGGGCTGTGGGCCCTGGATTTGTCAGTCTATGTTGGAGAGGTACACTCCTGGGCAAGCTGTTTACTATGTCTAGGAATTGGCTCAACCTAGTGGGTGAGAAAAGAGGGACGCTTCCTCGAGGGTCAGCAAGGCCCCAGATGTCAACGTGTCAGAATAAAGAAAGTAAAAGGCATGGGTAATAGGGGCTGTTGGCTTTCATTGTTGTGTTTGCTTCCTGTGTTGTGTCTCCCCCACTTGTTCAAGTTGCTAACTCCTGGCTGCAGGATGTTCTGAACATGGGCAGGGGAGGGACTCGGGTGCGTTTCTCTAAAACTTGTACCTAATTCTGTTGTCTTCCCCTGTCCTCCTTCCCGTCATCGCTAATCTTGGAGCCCAGGACCCCTCTGGGGCCCTGCTGGTACCCAGCTCCCCTTGGCACCTTCAGCTGCACTCATTCAAGTTATATTTGTTAAGCATCTGGGCCGTTTCAAGAGGCTGGAACTAGAGCTTTGACCTGGTGGGGCAGAGCCCCCGCCCTTATGGGGCTGACAGTGGCATTATCCTCCACCTGCTCTCCGTGTCCTACAGAGAGACTGAAATTCCTCATCTGCTGGTGTCTCTTACATTGTCTTCAGGTTGTATTTTTGCTAAGAACTTTGTTTTATATGCATATGAAATAAAACCACAGTTCATTTAAAACAGCAGTGGACATGGGCCCCTTCCAGCCTGTGCTTGGAGATCTCCCCAGTCAGCTGCAAAACGTGCTCTCAGACCGGAGCCTGGGTGGCCAGAGAACCTCTCAGAGCTGCTCAGACCATGGTAATAACAGACCTGGGAGCACCGGAGTGGCAGTGCCAGCTCACAAAATCCTTTTTCTGTTTCTAGTGCTGATGAGAGATTTGATGCCACATTCCACACCAATGTGCTAGTGAATTCTTCTGGGCATTGCCAGTACCTCCCTCCAGGTAAGACCTACTTCCTTCGTCCTCTACAGTTAGACAATGTAAGCAAGTTGGGGGAGCCCGTCCCCATGGTGCTCCCAGGAGGGGTGGGCTAGCTCGGTGTATCCCCTGGGCATCCTTTGCCTCTGTTCCCGCCCACCCTTCCTGCTTCCTTCTCTCCTATGCTCGCACATACTTCCTGAATATAACAAGGCCACCTTCCTCTTTAGATTTGTGTTACGATCACGGCTCAAGCTGTCTTTGCCAACCTGTGTCACATTTTCTTATTGTCTGCCGTGTGGTCTTTAAATTTAATTCACAACTGAAGCCAAGCCTCCCTTGTCTGCTCATTCCCAGCTCTCCTTCCCACGGGCAAGCCACCCCCAGGCTATGTTCTGTCCATTTCAGCTTGCCGTTTTCCTTCCCACCAGAGTGGTGTCATGGTGGGTGCCGCTCTCCAGGTGTTGGGGGCAAGACGGTGAACTTGCTGGGCTGGCTTCTTGAGTGTGGGCGTTACCCACCTGTCAGATCCCAGATCACATGGCTTCAACCAGGAGCTCACTAGTGACTTAGTCCTGAATGAGCCTCTCTCTGCCTTCTCAGCTAACTGCTTCCTGGGGTTGGTTCTTCCCCCTCCAGCCCATCATTCCCATGGATCCTCGGGGCCCTGATTGCTGGGTGAGCGAGCTGTCCATGGCTCAGGAACATGAGCTCTATGGCCCTGAGGCTTAAGAAAATCTTAGATGATTTTTGACATGCTCTATTCCAGGACTATCTCCTCCCCACTGCAACTGGTTGTTTAATTTTCTGCCCCCAGACAATCTGCAACCACCCCTCCGCCCCTCCACCACCACACACAGCACACACACTCACACAGGTTCACACACATGCACGCCCATCCTCGCAGTCAGTCCCAGGCTCACGCCTTCTGATCCAACTCACAGCTCACAGCACCGCCGCCTCTGCTTTCTGGATGGTTGTTTACATGCGCTTCCTTGTTAGCAGATGATAAGCACCCCACGGGCAGAATCTGTGTACTCACCTTGAAACCACCTAATCAATCAGGTGCCTGGCCAAGCTGATAAATGAACAAATGAGTGAGTGTTTGACGCCGTGAAAGGCAGAGCCCTTCCAGCACTATCTGTACAGATTGGAGAGCTGCGGGCTTCAGGCTTTCTATCTGAAAGGGCAAGCTTCCCTCCCCAGCCCCTTTCACTCCCCCTTTCCAAGCCGACTCTCTCCTACCAGCCGGCCCCTTGCACACGGAGCTGTGGGATGTGTCTGCCATCACAGGTACATTCTTCTTCACCAGTCTCTACATTCCAGCTTTTAGTATGGGGTCTGTCTTAGAAAATGGCCTCCAGTCATCATCAGTGGAGAAGGATATGGTGCTCCAGACTGGTCTGGAAGGCTGAGACTATTGTCACCTGAGCCTTTTGTGCAGAAGCCCCCTTGGGGGCTGTCCCTGTGTCCTGACCTCCACAGCCCAGGAGCCTGGGCAGGACAGGACACTGTGCTGTGACTGTGGGGGCCCCCCTGCATTGGCAGGAGTGTGTGGAGCTATCTGGTTGGTGCAGCCTGTGCCCTGGGGAAGTGTAGACCAGTCTGGATGCTTCCCTGTCCTCGTAGCTGAGTACAAGCAAAGGAGTGTTCTGGGTACAAGCTTTGAAATAGACGCTTGGCTTTCTTTTCCATTTCATATTTTTTATTTTTAACAGCTTTGTTGATGTATAATAAATTTATATATCATACAATTCACCCATTTGAAGTGCATGAGTCAATGACTTTTAGTATATTCACAGAGTTGTGCAGCCATTACCACAATCTAGTTTTAAACATTTGCCATCACCCCAAAAAGATCCCTTTTGTCTGTTTGTGGTTAACAACCCCCGTGCTCACTGCCAGTCTCAGGCCACCACCGCCCTGCTTTCTGCCTCTAAAGATTCTCTTTATCTGGTCATTTCATACAAATGGAATGATTCAGTTGTAGAGTTCCATTTTCTACAAGCACTTTGGGTTTGGGGGGCTCTAGCCCATTAATGGGAGGGCAGTGTCTCTAAGGATTTCTAGATTCCTATGAACACTGGATGTGACACTGCGACTATATTTAAAGGGACTCCAGGGGACAGGAGGTTTATGTCTTTCCCAACTTGGTTGTGGGAGGGGGGGGGGTCCATGTCTGCCAGGCCATTGAGCCCCTTCATTCATTCTTCCTTCAGTTTGGTAGCCGAAATGACCAGATCACCTGCCCTGTCCCTCTGAGCACTGGGACCCTGTGCTGTGCCTTCCACTGCCTTCCAGCCTTTCTCTGGGCAGGCAGGAGCACACGGCTGTAACTGGCTAGTCTCCTCCCAGTGACCTGCCAGAAAACTCACTTCCATCTCGTCCTAGCCTGGAGCCCCTCTTTTCAGTGGAAACTCACTCTTGTAACCAAGCGCTATCTCTTCAACTGAAACCTATTAGTCCTTGTTCTGGTCTGAATCTAGAACTCAGACTAGTTAAAAGTATCCTCCTCATAGTGTATTTCTAGATAACCAAGTATTTTCTCAATTTTTAACCTAAGGAAAATACCCACCCCACTCACTACCACACACACACACACACACACACACACACACACACACACACACCCCTTTCAAATTCTGTTTCTAAATACGTCATCATTTTTATCAACGTCTCTAGGGTTTTTTTTCATCCTTTACTTTTCTCTTATATTTAGAATTTGGCAATGCGCACGCACGGTAAGAGCAAGTGTACAGATCTACCGATTATTTGCACAGACATCCCTCAGAACAGTCTTCGATAGAACATGTTGGTGTTGTCTTGAATTTTAAGACAGTGAAGCTTCCACTGAGCTCTTTTCTGGAGATTTTTTCAAAGACCCAGCTTGTTCTAACAGGTCTAGCTGCAGTCTGGAAGGAAAGGATAGACTAAAGTTCTCATGGATTCTCCCAGTCGAGAGGCCCTGGTGCCCATATCGCCTCTTTTTTTTTTCTTCTTCATTTGCAATTACAGTTAATATTCAATATTATTTAGTTTCAGGTGTATAGCACAGTGGTTAGACATTTATATAATTTATGCACTGATTCCCCCCAATAAGTCTGGTACCCACCTGACATGATACATAGTTATTAAAATATTATTGACCATATTCCCTGTTTTACTTTACATCCCCATGACTATTTTGTAACTACCAATTTGTACTTCTTAATCCCTCCACCTTTTTCACCCAACCCCTAACCACCCTCCCGTCTGGCAGTCATCAGTTTGTTCTTTGTATCAATGAGTCTGTTTCTGTTTTGTTTGTTCATTAGATTCCATTTATAAGTAAGATCATACCACATCACCTCCTCTTGAAGGGAGCACGAGAGGACCACAGGATGTGTGCGCAAAGCAAAATGTCTTTTTTTATCAAAATGACATTCAAAACATTATAAGTAATGTATTGTTTAACTCGCCAGCCCTTGTCAGGTGGGAAAGTGTTTCAACCCACAAAGGGTAGGCGTTGGGCTTTATGAACAGCATGTGAGGAGACAGGTCAAGGGATTACTATGTGTTTATTTTTTATTTTTAATGTTTTCCCAGCTTTATTGAGGTATAGCTGACAAATGAAATTGTAATATATTTAAAGTATACAACGTGATGATTTAATATATGTAAACACAATGATTTCTCCATCAAGTTAACATATCCATCACTTCACATAGTTATTTTTATTTTATTTTATTTTGGTGAAAATGCTTAAGATCTACTGTCTTACAGATTTTAAGTATATGATGTTATTAACTGTAGCCACCATGCTATACATTAGATCCTCAAAACTTATCCATTTTATACCTGAAAGTTTGTACCCTTTGATGAATCTCTCCTTACCCTCCAGCCCCTGGCAACCACCATTCAACTCTCTGTTTCTATGAGTTCAACTATTTATTTTCAAATTCTACATACAAGTGATACCATGCAGTATTTGTCTTTCTCTCTCTGGCTATTTCACTGAGCACAATATCCTCCAAGTTCATCTGTATTGTTGTGAATGACAGGGTTTCTATCTTTTTTAAGGCTGAATAATATAAACGTTATGTGTATACACAGATATGCATATGTGCATGTGTGTGTTTTTACCCATATATCCATTGACAAACACTTAGGTTGCTTCTACATCTTGGCAATTGTAAATGATGCTGCAGTGAACATGGGGTGCTGCAGTGAACATGGGGTGCAGCAGGCTCTTTGAGACAGTGATTTTGTTTCCTTTGGATGTGTGCCCAGCAGCAGGGTGACTGGGTCATGTGGTTGTCCCATTTATAATTGTTTGAGGGACCTCTATACTGTTTCCGTAGCGGCTGCACTGACTTGTGCTCCTGCCGGCAGTGCAAGGCCGCCGAGTGTGCAGAGCGTCCCCGGCAGCTCCCATCTTGGTCTCTTGCCGGTTTCTGTTCCAGGCATATTCAAGAGCTCCTGCTACATTGATGTGCGCTGGTTCCCCTTCGACGTGCAGCAGTGCAAACTGAAGTTTGGGTCCTGGTCCTACGGAGGGTGGTCTTTGGACCTCCAGATGCAGGAGGCAGACATCAGTGGCTACATTCCAAATGGAGAATGGGACCTTGTGGGTAAGCCCAGCAAAAACACAAGACTCCCAGCTGGAAGGAAGCTGTGCTTGCCTAAAAAGCCTGGGATTTGCCTGGGATTTTCCACTGAGCTGCTCAGTGAGCATTTGTTGAATCCTGCAGCATCCTCCATAACTCACTGAGAGCAATAGGATGAGAAACAAAAGCAATTAGAAAATTCAGCTCTTCCCATGAGGAAGCACTTAAACGAGCCAGCGCTCGTGCAGGCGTCCGTCCATCATTTGAGCTGCTGCATTCCTAAAATCACGTCGGGCAGCGAGCTGCAGGTCATGAGAGCCTGTGTTTGATGATTTTAAGAAAAACAATAATTGCATTTATAATGGTGTAACGTTTACAATGTATTATTTATACTCATGGTCTTAGTCCGCTCTGGCTGCTGGAACAGACACCACAGACTAGGTGGCTAATGAACAACAGACGTTTATTTCTCGTAGTTCTGGGGGCTGCAAGTCCAAGGTCATGGTATGGGTAGATCCAGTGTGTGGTGACAGCTCACTTCCTGGCTCATAGATGGCTGTCTTCTTGCTGTGTCCTCACACAGCAGAAGGGACAAGGGAGCTCTCTGGGGTCTCTATAAGGGCACTAATCCCATTCATGAGGGCACCACCCCTGACCCAATCCCCTCGCAAAGGCCCCACCTCCTAACACCCTCACATTAGGGGTTAGGATTTGAACATAATAACTCTGGGGAGCACAAGCATGCAGTGTACAGCACATGCAATTCCAATTGATCAAAAATAATCCACTAATTTCTTCAAATTTCACTAAGATACTCCTCAACAACTCTATGACAAGCCAGAAAGTGTCTATTCAAGCACTGATTACCTATGTTTAGCACTTCATACTCCATGGCTACGTTTGTGTGTTATAGTCATTAAAATAAACAAACAGGGTAATTTCATCCAAACGTCGGTTCCTTCCTCCCCCTCCCCATGGAGGAATCCCAGGCAAGCGGAGCGAGAAGTTCTACGAGTGCTGCAAAGAGCCGTACCCAGATGTCACCTTCACGGTGACCATTCGTCGCAGGACCCTCTACTATGGCCTCAACCTGCTCATCCCCTGCGTGCTCATCTCCGCCCTGGCCCTGCTGGTCTTTCTGCTCCCTGCAGACTCTGGGGAGAAAATCTCCCTCGGTAAGTGGGAGACTGACATGGGACAGGATGGCCCTGCCTGGAGGTCACCTCTGTAGGGGTCACTGTGGACAGCACAGGGGCACATCCAGGCTCTGGGTGCAGACATGTTACGGGGCATGGGTGGCACATCACACACTGACCTCCAAGTCCACGGTGCCTCCCTGCTCAGCGGCTCCTCATGCAGGCTCTGTGCTCGATGGCCATGCCCTGAGGTACCACAGGGCCCTCTGATTCTGCTAAGGGGTAGGGGTGGAGAATGGGAACACTCAGGACGGGACCAGCTCTGCCCTGAGGGGCTGTGCTTTCTCCCCTCCTCCCACCCCATGCCACTGTTTGCTGACAACCAGCCAACATTCGTTGTGCACAGAAAATAATTCAGTTAGTTTATTCCATTCTGAGTTTGCATTTGCATACTGCTCTATACAGTATAATTCCTTACACTCATCCAATTGGAAGATAAGAAAACTTAAGATTTAGAAGGGCAAGGTGAGTTTGTCGACATCTCAGAGCATTACTAAAGACCATGTTTCCTACATATAGAAACCATTCTCAAGCCCATCTTCTGACTACGAGGTTTAGACATGTTAAGTGACCTCTCCAAGGTCACACAGTGAGTATGTGGCAAAGTCAAGACAGACTTTAGACTGCATGACTTCTTTTTCCTGCTAAGAGACTGCCTCTCAATACTAGTATGATAAAGAAAATCAGAGATGCTTGTCCTAAGTTCAATGATTCATTTTGCGTTGTTCCCCTAATATTCTGGCTCCTAAATTTTTCTCTACCAGGGACTCCTCTGGGATGCTGGTAAATGATGTTACTGTCCCCTAGAAAAATGCCCATCTCCATAAATACAAATAACCAAGCACTCGGTTTCGGGCATGTCTTGGACACCACCCGCCCTTCCCCCAACCCATCCCTCGTTCTTTGACTCTTAGGTTAGGACCCCCTTTAGATGGAATTCAGGCCATGCTTACCTCCTGTTCTGTCTCAGGTGCCCTGTGTGTTTATGTTCCAGGGATAACGGTTCTGCTGTCTCTCACTGTCTTCATGTTGCTGGTGGCTGAGATCATGCCTGCGACTTCGGACTCAGTGCCCTTAATAGGTAAGCAAGCGAGGGGCTCCATGTAAAGATACGGGCATGGAGGGTGCCCAGGATTTCCTAGCACAGGCAAGGAGTGCAGTTCTCCTCCATGGCCACAGAGAGCTGCACTGCCCCTGGTTCTGCCCTGAGAGGTGATGTGCTGTAACTGTTCAGAGCCATCCATGGCCTCTTCTCAGCTGGGCACACGCAAGGGAGGGGCGAGTCCAGCTTTGGGGTTTGGCTATAAAGTGCAGACATGTCCCCTTCCTCCCTAATTCTCCCCATCGTGCTTGTTACAGAGCCCGAGATTTTACCATTAGAGATGTGTCATTTTAGCTTGTTTTGCCACAAATCCTTTGTGAAATGGAACAGTGCACGCCTAAATGCTTCACCACTCTGTCCTGAGATAACTTGATAAAGCACATGAGGAAATGTGAGCAGGACAGATATATTTTGGCCAGAACAGATGTAAGGCATGACCTTCTGCCCAGGGAGGGATGACAGGAACAGGAGGCGACATCACATGGGGCTGTACATCTTCCTGGATGGGAAGAAGCATAGACGAGCAAAGGGGTGCTCAGGAGCGCAGTGGTCGGGGTCCATTGCCCTCACCACTGCAGCCTGGGTTCTGTCCCTTGTCAGGGAGCCAGTCCTCCAAGCCAGCTGTGAGGACAGGGAGCAAAGGTTCTGCCATTGACGATTTAATGTCAATTGACTGTGTAAGGTTTAATATGAGAGTATCATCACTCCCAGGTGGCGGTGGAGGTCAGGAACAGGAGTGCCACCTGTGATCACTGCTGTTGGCTCATGCCACCGGAGGGCCATCCTGTGTGGTTAACCAGGGGTGGGTAGGAATGGGGGAGCCTTACATGGATACCCCCAGGCTTCACAGACTGAGAAGGCAGGGCCCTGATTTCTGGAGCACCTTGTATGTGTAATATTTTGGCCCAAGAGATTGTTGTTCTGAAACACCCTTGTGGTGTCCTATTCTCTCAGTGCCATCCAGAGAGCAAGGACCCACCTTTCAGCTTGATGGTCTGGTCCCATTCTTTCTACCTTCCGACACGATGCTTTCAATAGAGACTTGCAACAGAAACCGCCCCTAACGGGGCAGTCGGCATGATTGCTGAACCAGCGGGGAGGGTCTTGGTTGATGCACAGCCTGTGTCTAGAAGGATGCAGTATGTTGGCCTCTGATCTCTGTTGTGGACATTTCAGCTGGGTGGTCCTTTGACCCTGGGTCCCTCTGTAGGTCGTTGCCTTGGTCAGCTTGGGCGACCGCAGTAATATCTCACCAACTGGCGGGTGTACACAACAGAAGTGTGTTTGCTCACAGTTCTGGAGGCTGGAAGCCCAGGATCAGTGTCAGCAGGGTTGGTTTCTTCTGAAGCCTCTGTCCTTGGTCTGCAGATGACCACCCCTCTCACTGTGTCCTCACATGGTCTTCCCTCTCTGCATGCATCCCTGGTGTCTCTTTGTGCATCCTAATCTCCCCTCCTTATAAGGACACCAGTCAGATTGGATCAGGTTGCACTCTAAGGACCTCCTCTGAATTTAATCATTTCTTTAGAGACCCGTCTCCATATATACTCACACTCTGAGGTCCTGGGAGTTAGAGCTTCAACATACACATGTTAGGGGGACACAATTCAGCCCATGATAGCCATGGTGTGGTTTACGCTCCTCTCCCTTCTGCCCTCCTGGGAGGTCCCTGATGCTAATTTTAAGTCTCAAATCCACCTCCAGCAGCTGCTTGCAGGTACCTCTTGGTCTCTGCAAGAGAACAGTGAGTTCCTGCCTGCCTGGCGAGCAAAAGGGCTCTGAACCAGGTGTGGGGGCCGTGCACTTGACCTCTGCACCAGGATGCTCTCTGCTTTGAGCTTAGCCCCCTTGAGCAGGTGACCACACAGACGATTTAATAATCAAGAGTTGCCAACTAAGGAACGCCTCCCTGTGCCAGGCTTTGTCGTAGACCCTTGACCCATAGAATTGCTAATTCCTGCAGCAACCCTGCAAAGAAGCCATGTCTGTCCTTATTGTATCGTCGATGAGCTGAGGCCTGAGAGGCTGACTACCTGTCCAGACTCATAGATGGTAGCCAGTAGACTGGAAGGGCACTCTTTCACGGGCTCCATGCTCTGTTTACCTGGGCCATGGTGGAGACACACATCTGTGCCCATCAAAACTGAAGCTGGGGCTGGCCAAGTGGCACGTTGGTTAAGAGCTGGCTTGGGACACCACCTCTAAGCAGCAGGGCCCCAGTTCAGATCCCACATGAGGGCCAGTGATGCTGCTCCCTCTACAGCTAAGATGGTGAACAACAGCTCAACCTGGATCTGGGCTGCAGCGACAGTGTAGGCTGCAGCCCTGCTGCAGTGGGCTGCCATAAGCTACCCGTGAGTGGCTGGCAGCCTGCGTGAGCTGCCAAGAGCCACCATGAGTGGCTGTCCAGTGGCTGCCAACTGATCTGCCTCACCCAGGAAAAGCGCAATGATCATGCCAACATGGGTCAGTGAAGCGACGTCCTCCACAACTAGGCTGAAGAACAAAAGGACAGCAACTTGTTTGTTCCCCTTCCCTGATTCCCCAACGCTGTTTCCCTCCCCCAATTCCCCAATAAAATATTTTAAAAAAACACCCAAAAAGAAACAAAAAAAAACAACTGAAGCTGATGTTCTCAGCCGGAAAAGTCACTACGGCTAACCTCTTCCTCAGGCTGGACAACTGGCACCCCAGTGTCTCCTAGTAGATGGGGCCAAATTCGTTTTGCACACTAGTACCCTAAGCCACTAGGCCTCATAAGATGGCCAGGTGATGCGCAGGTTTACCCTTGTTACACCCTAGCACATCCGCATCCTGCAGTCATCATGATGGGCCCACACCCTCACCACCCAGATGTTTTAGTTCCGATAATGGCCTCCATGCTTTCGCATTGCAATAACCTCATCACCATCCTGTGAGACGCTGTTAGCCCTCATTGGAGGAGAAGGGGAACAGATCTCGTGAGAGTATAGTCAGTGATGGGAAGATGTGTCTTTGTGCTCCGGGCTGGCCTCTGACTGTGGGGCTGGACTGCAGGCCTGGGGCAGACCTGCCTGCTTGCAGGCCTCACCCCTGTTCCCTGGCAGTCAGAGAACAGGGCCTGGGTCCTTCCCCCCCTTCCCCACCCCCCCCACACCCTGTGAAGTACTGCGCCTGTGATGGCCACACTCCGCAGGCTGGGCCTAGGTTCCCCCCCACCCCCCAGCCTGTGATGTCTGCCCTGTCAAGGCTGGGCCTGGGTTTCCCCGCAGCCCTGTGATGTCCGTGCAGTGGAGGGTGGGCCTGGGTCGCCCTGCCCCTGCCCTGTGATATTTGCTTGGTGGAGGCCAGGCCTCACCCTGCCTCTGTTCTCTCCACAGCCCAGTACTTCGCCAGCACCATGATCATCGTGGGCCTCTCTGTGGTAGTCACCGTGATCGTGTTGCAGTACCACCACCACGACCCTGATGGTGGCAAGATGCCCAAGTGGGTGCGTTCCTCCCACCCTCCACCACAGGGAATCAGGGCCCCTCCCCAAAGGAGGTGCCCCCGGTGACTTATTTAGCTGAAAAATCCTACCAACGGCTAGAGCTTGTCACCGAGGGCACATGTCTGCTAGAGGACAGCTCTGGTATGCATGCTCTTAGGGTGCCACACACTTCTCACAGTCTGACACCCAGAGCAGGGCTCACACACTGGCCACTCTGATTTTGCTAGTGTGGTGTTTTTAAAACTGCTTTTCGCATGTACACTATGGAGAATTGTGCGGCCTTGAAAGCGACAGACAAGATCACACAGCCACGTGGTTAGCTCTTCACAACAGGAGTGAAGAGAGGAAGAAACAGCATAAGCGATATAAAAATATATGCACTCAGTACACATAGGAACGTAACCTAACCCAAAGCCTGTGAACTAAAGGTTTCTAGCTACCAGTGGGGAAAGGGATGACATCAAAGGAAATAGATGACAAACGATTTCACATCGTATCCTGGCATCTTAGTCCCAGGTCATTCCACACCTCCCCAGTGACAGCTGACCACCATGCAATATGATGTCTGCTCATGTCCACCCACCCACATGCTCTGCTGTTTCCCAGGCTAGTGTCCCAAGCTGCATGCCCAACCTTGCTGACACAGGAAAACTGCATGAGGACAGAACAGCACTGCGGTGTGACAAATCCCGAGGCCGGGGAGGGCTGCCCCCTCCTGCTTCTTACGTGGGCCCTGCAAGCCTTCCAGTCCTACTGTCCAGAGAGCATGGACAGGGGACAGTTGGGAGCTAAAGAAGCGCTCTCATGTCAAAAGGAGCCTTTCTTTGGCGACCCATAACCTCACATCCAAGTTCAGAGAGGAGTCTAGGGCTCACCGACATGCTAAATGCTGCTGCAAGGTGTAAAATGCATGTAAGAGTTCTTGGGCCTTCTAAACACATCCATTGTGCAGTAATTTACAGTTACACAAAAGGTAACTTAGGAAAAAACAGCTTTTTGATGATTTTAAAATTTTTGCAAGTTTGTAGCATGTATGTTGTTCAAGTTAACAAAGCTTAAAACTTCAGGAATGAAGAACAAAACGACAGCAACTTGTCTGTTCCCCTTCCCCAATTCCCCAGCGCTGTTCCCATTCCCCCAATTCCCCAATAAAAATCTTTAAAAAAACAAACAAACAAAACTTCAGGAAGACTTCCCAGCGTTACCTATAGAAGCCAAGATATGGAGGCAACCTAAGTGCCCATCCTAGGCACATGCATAAAGAAGATGTGATACATACATACAATAGAATATTACTCAGCTATAAAAAGAGTGGAATCTTGCCATTTGCAACAACATGGATGGACCTAGAGGGTACTGTGCTGAGTGAAATCAGTTAGACAGAGAAAGACAAATACCATATGACTTCACTTATGTGTGGAATCTAAAAAGAAGAAAAATTGGCTTTACAAAGCTGCTGCATCCCCTTAGATCCTTTTCCATGGCAGGTTCTTACACTTACAATGACTTTTCCCTCATAGCTTTTTGCACCCACAATGGAGTGAGCACCCCAAAATGGTGATACCTCACATACAGGTCCTGTCACCACAATCCGTGTGCTTCTTTTGAGAAGGTCCCCTCCTTAAGAGCTGGGACACATTTGCATACATTCACCTCCACACTCATCTGACTTTCTGATAAACCTGACACACTTTCTTTTTTGTTTTTAATTAAATTTATTGGGGTGACAATGGTTAGTAAAGTTACATAGGTTTCAAGTGTACAACTCTGTAATACGTCATCTGTATATTGCATTGTGTGTTCACCAGAGTCAATTTTCCTTCCATCACCATATATATTTGACCCCCTTTACCCTCTTCTACCATCCCTCTATCCATCCATTCATTTGAAATTGGTTATGCATTTGCATGTTTCAAAAGTCATAATACAAGTAAAATTATACATAAGGAAATCTTGCTTAAAGGAAAACCACCAATACTGATAATCATTTGAATTAATTCCTACTTTTTCCTTCCAGTGATTTTTTATACAAATGAAAAAAAATATAAACACATATTATTGATGATGTTTACACTGATGTAAAGATAAGGGAATTAAGACATAAAGACACAAACCCATTTTCAATGACCTGGTAGCACTTTACTGCTCCAGAAAAAAAGCTTAATTAAGAGCAATAATTATTTGCCTCTCAACACAAGAGCACGTTAAAACCAGTCGCTGCAAATGAAATATGAAGGTCGTATCTCTTTCTCTCACTTGATAGAACACACTGCGTTTTTCTTTCTTTCCCTGTGTATTTGAAACATGAAAACCTCTAAGGGACTTTTACTGTGATCTGTTGCTATGAAGAAGATCCCGCCGAGTGCGGTGGCATTAAGTGACATTTGCACAGCCAGACACAAGACTATAACCTACCAGAAGAGGTCACAGGCGCAGTTAGATAAGTGCCGAGAGGATCGTTTCATCTTTGGAGACGCTTTAGCCTGGAAAGCTCAGGATTCAAGCAATGGATTTTAAAATCAACTTGGCGTGCGGGTCATGTTAGGTTCAGTTGTCCCCCCACCTGGCAGGAGACACTCCCAGCATTACTGCTCAGATCTCCGAGTACTTGGCTGCCCTTCTGGCTTTGGACACACTCACTGTCCAGTGTACTCGGTCAAGCTCTAGTTCAGACTTTCCGGTGACTTCTGCCTGGGGGTTGGGCTAACGTCACAGGAGTTTGGAAGAAAACCCTGTAGAGACGTGACAGATGAGGCTGCAGAAATCCACTCATGTTAGGTGACTTAATCCTGAGGAAATCCTGGGCCAGTGTATTAGCCTCTTTGAACCTCAGCTTCTTTATCTGTAAGATGGGAAGATTATACTGAATTCACAGAGCCTTAAGGGGCCCAAGTGACATGGCACATCACACGAGCCTCGTGTAGAGGGCCAAACTGGCCTGAAGATTCATGTGGAGCAAGCACCCCTGCTCCTGCTGATCATGGAAAACCCTCGAGGGTCAGCACACAGGCATCTCCAGGCCATGGAGGTGCTCAGAGGGCCACCTGCTATGACGAAGTGTTGTCTTACAGCCGCAGTGACACTGCTCATCTGCCTCCTTCCTTTTGTTGCCTGTCCGCAGCAGCCTACTGCAGTCCTCTTTGATAAGATGTCACAAAAATGATGACCGAGAAAGTGCTGCAGACATGAACGCACTCGTACAACTTACTGCCTGTACTTACAAATGGGAAACGTAACTGTTCTGTTGCCAATGGAATTTGCCTACAGTCATAAACCAAAGTGAAAATGAAATCAGTCTTTGGATAATTTCAGGGGAACGGCCCACTTTTCAGCTCCTTGTCTAAGTAGGCTGGTAAGAATGCTTTTCTTCACCTGATTGAGCTTCAGATGTCTCCTCCTTTCCATTAGAGGGGAGAAACAAAAGTGCGGTTTTTCTCCAGCACCTTCTGTGCTTGTAGGCTCCACAGGATTCTAAAGTGCTTTAGATCAGAGGTCAGCAAACTATGACCCCAGTGGCCAAATCCAGCCCAGCAAGTACTTATGCCAATGCAATTTTATTAGAAAACAACCATGCCCTCGTTTTAGAAAACATGTCATACCCTCATTTTCTGTTCCACATGTTGACTTTCTCTACACTTGCTTTTTATCAGGTTAACTTCATAAACCCTCTTTGCAATGATAAGACATCATTGCACTGGATGTAGCAATCTGATATTACAGTCTGAACCACTTCAAGAGTTCACCTGGTATCTGACAGATGTCACTGGGTTGCCCTTGAAAAATTTAAATCCTGGAGGTTGGCTCTGTGAGTTTGCTGTGGCCTCTGGAGTAGCTCACAAGGAGTTAGTTGTGATGGTCCCTGTTGCAGGTGAGAAGGGTCAGAGAGGGAAAGCCACTTGCCCTGTTCACACAGCTCAGCACTCTCTTTCCAAGACTGCCCTCTCCCCCGACATGGCTGTGTTCCCTGAGACTGCAGTGCGTCCCCACGGAGAAGAATCCAGCTCACTTCCAGGGTGATTTTCTGCACTGGCTTAGTCGCGGCTCACATTTGACCCAAGCACTGTAGCTCGTTGGCACTGCTTGGCTGTGTAAAGTCACCTGGGAAGGCGTGGGGGGCCTGTCACCCTGAGGATGCATGACACGGGTCTGGTGTGGTAGGATCACGTGGGCTGATGCCTGCTTCCCTGCGCTCCTAACGCTCGGTTCTCTCCCCAGACTAGAATCATCCTCCTGAACTGGTGCGCATGGTTCCTGCGCATGAAGAGGCCGGGGGAGGACAAGGTGCGCCCGGTCTGCCAGCACAAGCAGCGCCGCTGTAGCCTGGCCAGCGTGGAGATGAGCGCGGTGGCGGGGCCCCCGGCCACCAACGGCAACCTGCTCTATATCGGCTTCCGCGGCCTGGACGGTATGCACTGTGCCCCCACCCCGGACTCGGGGGTTGTGTGCGGCCGCCTGGCCTGCTCCCCCACGCACGATGAGCACCTGCTCCACGGCGGGCAGACCTCCGAAGGGGACCCGGACCTGGCCAAGATCCTGGAGGACGTCCGCTACATCGCCAACCGCTTCCGCTGCCAGGACGAGAGCGAGGCGGTACGCAGCGAGTGGAAATTCGCCGCCTGCGTGGTGGACCGCCTGTGCCTCATGGCCTTCTGCGTCTTCACCATCATCTGCACCATCGGCATCCTCATGTCCGCGCCAAACTTCGTCGAGGCCGTCTCCAAGGACTTCGCTTAGCGTGGTCCTCGTCCCCAGCCTGCAGGAAGCGCGTTGGCTTGGGGACAATTGGGGGGCACTGATCCCATTGCAGCGTTCAACGGGAGGGCATCCGTGTACCCGATCGCTGTCAATCACGTCTGTTACAGTTTCCTTGTCACTTTCAGTAATGCAACGTCAGCACGTTTTTGTTGAATCCTTTCAGATCCGTGGAGCGTCCTCTGGGTCCACAGGACCACTGAGAGAGGTCATTTTGCCCATCCCTCCTGATGAGCCCTGCATATAGAGGTGGGTGGCTCAGGTCTGCGAGGGAGGCCTGCCCAGTGGGTTTGCATGCCTGCATGTCACGTGCCAGGAAGGCCTACATGACAATCCAACTAAGCTTTTCCCTATGTACAAACCTAGATTGAAACTCCTACTAATAATAAACCACACTCGCTAAATCCATTCAAATAATTGACTGGTGAAAGGAAACAAAACTAAACCAAACTGAAACTAAAAACCCAACGGCTGGTTCTGCTATAATTTAGATTTTATTTATCAAAGACAGGTGGTAGAGAGAAACAGTTTTATGCTGTTTCTGCGTATTTTGTTTTTGTTTGTTTTTTTAAGAGGGAGAAAGACATAGTTGGTCTTGTAAATTATGCTTTTACCAGTCTGATTTCTGCCAACCTACCCTGTCAAGGGAAGAACCCGAACCCGACAAGTCCGGGATTTCTGTAGATTGCAGGCGACTCCCAAGTTTTCTGTGCTGCCCCCAGACACTGGGCAGTTGAGTAAGTCTGCTCTATTCTGCAAAACGCAAAGGGCCGTAGATTCTATTACAATTACCAGCCCAATGTAATAGCTAAAGCTACATTAAACCATCTGTGTGATTTTTTTTAATAATGCTTTGACAGTTCATATGTACCGAAGTTGATTAGTCTTAGAAATTTGTGGATCCATTTAACATGAAAGTACCCCATGCGTTTTTCCAATGGGGCAGGGCCCGGCACCTCCTCTGGCTCCCTGCTGGTTAGGAAAGGGATGGGGTGGTGTCGCTGATGGCGTTCCTAGATGACAGGCCAGTCGTGGTCAGCAGGAGGGGCCAACAGTGCTGCACAGAGCCAGTAAGTACGGCTTCTGACTTTGGAGGCGCTGCTTCCCTACGGCTCGTCCACCCAGCTTCAGGCCAGAGCGCTAGCTGAAGGGGTGATTCACTGGACATGAGTGTGTTGAAAGCAAGGGAAACCTTTCCTTTTAAATGTGAGTGGTGACAGAACTCTCTACTTAGATTATCTAGCTGACAAGAGTTACTTTGCCTCTTCCTGTGTTTCTTATTTTTTAATGAGATCACAGGGAGACACAGGGTGATCTCTCTTGTTGTACTGTTTCATCCAGTAACTGCTCAGAG